AAGGGGCGTCTGTGGACCTACAAGGACAAGGACTTTATGGTGGAAGGATCATACCGAGAGATCCCTCCCCCCTTTAAGAATGGGCCAAGTGCTGGGGTCTGCAAACACTTATCTATGATGACCTGATTCTACGGGGTGGGCTCAGCATCAAGGCAGGGATCATCTGCACGTATTAAGAGCTTTCAATGATGCGGTGTTGGGGCTACTTCGTTTTATAAAATATCAAAATACTCTCAGACCTTTCTCCAGGGGACCTCCTCACAACCAGTTTCTAAATGGTTAACCCTGGGGCCAGTAAGGGCTTCAGAACTCTGCTGATGAGTATGTTATTATATATCTTTTGGATATCATCCTTGATTGTAATTCGAAAGTTCTCTATTGGAACGCTCCTGGCGGGAACCCGCCTGCTCTTATCTTTATGACCAGCAGGTGGCAGCACAGGAACGCTCAAACTTCAGGGTTCCAAGAAAAAAAAAGACACAAAACCTTCCCAGTTTTAGTCGAACTGCAGAGGGACCCATCTTCCTGGCTCTGAGGTGGTGCCTTGCTCACTGCCTGGCACCCACCCCCATGCCACTGAGCATAGGTGGGGAGTCCAAGGGAAGAGGATTACTCCACCTCTGGCAGGTGAACGCCGCGGAAAAAGCCGATTCAGGAAAGATGGCATTCGTGGCGGGAAAGCTGGGGGGCGGGTGGGGGGCAGTTGCCAAGTGCTGGGCGTCACGTATGAGATAACTAGCCTGTTATTTAGGCTGTTGTTAGCGCTCGGCAAATGTTAGCTGTTTATACAAACACTTCACCTGGATTAATCCCTACCATGAACCCACAAGGTGAGTCTTAACAGCCCATGTTACAGACAAGGATATTGGGGGCACAGAGGGATGGCCTCAGTTGTCCAGCATCAAGTGAATAGCAATGCTGGGGGCGTTGAATCCAGTCTTAGTGACCCGGAGCGGAGCCGTGTCCTCCTGCGCTAGCTGAGATGATGCTTGATGCTGAATCAGAAACATTCCTTATCAAGCAGCACACACAACTGCCTCTCAGTGAGAATGGAAAGCTACTGAGGGGCACAGGCAAAGTTGCGGGTAGACCCAGAGTTTTCCCGGGAGGCATGTTTTGCAGACCAGGGTGTACAAAGGGAAAGGCGTTGAGGACAGGAGCTGACCCAGCTGCTGGGCTGGGAGGCAGAACAGAGTGGTTCTATTTTTGCTGTCTCCTTGCTGTGTGACCTTGGGCAGGTCCTGACCCTCTCTGGGCTTTCCTTTCTTCTTCTGTAAATGAGAGTAACTTACGGGTCCTCACTGGTTCTCACTGTCCAAGGAATTTAGAGTACCAAAATCTTCATTAACTAAAAAAAAAACAACAACAACAAGGCTGCAACAATTCAGCTCACGGGGTTCTTGCTGGGATTAAACAAGGCCACAGAGAATTAACTAGGCGGCTGGAGCAAAGCACAGCCCTACAGATGGGGCTGGGCCACCTGGATCCCTGGGTGTGGCCTGGGAGAGTCTGTTCCTGCCCTGGCCTCATCTTAATTTTCATCTGTCACAGGTTGGGCTCTCTGGGAGCAGGTGCTGAGATGGAGTTACACCTGCAAAGGGCGGGAAGGAGGAAGCAGGTGAGGACGTGGGGAGCCATCGGACTGGGATGTAGGCCGACTGCCATCGCTGCCAGCCCAGCGGGGCTGGGAGCAAAGACTGCCTGTTAAAGGAGGTGAGGAGAGATGCCAGGTTCTCATACTGCTGTCTTGCTTTGTCATTAGCTGGACCTCCACGTCCCCCATCTCTCCAAAAAGCCACCTGGGCTGGAAGGCTGAGGCGACCCCTGGAGGGGGCTGTGAGCCAGTTGCCCTGCTCAGAGAGGCATCTGAGTGGTGCATCTCAGTATTTGCTCTACCCGAAAGGGCTGCCCTGCTCTCTCAGGTAGGAAATTCTGACATCAGCACCCCCACTCCCACAGATGTAGGGACAGGCATGGAGGGGAAGGGCTGGGTCTGAAGGAAACAGCAGCAGAGATCAGAGCCCAGGTGTACATGTGAGCATTTGTGTGCATGTGTGCATGTGTGCATGTAGGGTGTGCACAGATATGTGCAAGTGTTCACTATATATATATATATATATATTTATATATATATATGCATGTGTGTATGTGCATGTGTGCCCGAAGGTGCAGTATGGATGTGGGCACACGTCTACATGGGTGTATGTGTGTGTGTACCCTGTGTTCCTCTGGCATTCAGGTGGGGGCTGCCAGCTCTGGGCACCCCTGACAGATGGCACGTTGGTCCAGCCACTTGGGTTTGGCCCAGTCCCTGGGAAAGGGACTGGCAAAGTGAGGCCAAGCCCGTAGCTAAAGGAGGAGCCTGGCTCAGGGGTCAGGGCAGGAACAGGGGACACTGGGCCATCGCGGAGCAGCGGCAGCAACAGAACTGCAAGGTTTCTGGAGCCCAGACTTAGCTCTTTGTTCAACACTGAGTACAATCCCCCGAAGTGGGTAGATATAAATGTTCTCTGGATGTTTGCCTCTGTTGGGCAGAGCAGTGTGGACAGCTGAACCCACCCTTCCCTGAATCTATGCTGTTCAGACATGGACAGAGCTGTCAGGTGGGTGGCGGGGGCGGGGGGGGGTCTGTCCCCAGACCCTCCCCTGGAGAACCCTCTCTTTGATGGCAGGCATCATCAGCCCGGCCGCAGGGAGCTTTAGTCCAGTGTCCTCTGAGCCACTCTGCCTGTAAGTTCCTGGGAGAGAGAAGACCCTTGTTCCCCCAGTCTGGGGAGTGATGGGGGCCAAGAGGTCTCTGCTCTGTCCAGCCCTTCTCCTTGGGCCTGGCAGAGGGCTGTAGCCCACCCCTGGCAGGCCTAGTGACGCAAATCGGCAGTGGGGAGGCTGCTTGGGTTGGGGACGAGCCAGGGCCTGCAGAGGCCCCTCTGTCCAGGCCAGATGGCCTCTGGCTCCAGTAGGAGAGGCTGCCAGCACCTCCGGTCAGGGTCCTGGCCCTGATTCCTCACTCTGTCCTTGTCCAGCTTGAGCCTTCAAGTGCTGTTTGCCGAGAGGACCAAGTGGGGCTTTCTTTAAGATGCCCATTACCCCTCCCCACCCAAAGATGCCCATTACTTGAACCACTGTCCCCCTTACTCCCCACTCCAGGGTTCAGCCAGACCCCTCTGAGTCACATCTCCACGCTGACCAAGGCCCTGCAGGAACCCGGGGCAGCGGCCTGGGCGGTGGGGCCTGCTCTCCCGGCATCTCCTCTTCCTCTACGATTTAGGTCCGATTACTTCCTTATTAACTTAACTAATTAATTCAGTTCTTCAACACACGTAAATCAAGCATCTAAGCCTGTTCTAGGCCCTGGAACGACACAGCTGAACAAGACAGGATGGTCTCTGCCCTCATGAAGCTGACACCCCACTGGGGGAGATGAGAAAACTAGTGAACAGGGTGTATGGCAAAGTGACTGAGGAGGGCCAGGTTCGGTTCTGGGGGCGGGAGGGGCGGCAAGATCCAGGAAGAGGAGCCGGCCTGTGGGAGGGCCCGGCAGGGGAAGGCGGGTGGGGTGGGGTCTGCTGCACCTCCCTCCCTTGTGGTGGTAGGGGCAGGAGTGCCGGGTGCGGCAGGAAGAGGAGGGAAGTCGAGGCCAGAACTCAAAGGCCTTGTGGGAGTTGGATGTGATCCTGAAAGACTTTCACAGAGTTAACATTCGTAGAGTTCCTCCTGCATCCAGGGCATGCTGTCAATCACCTTACGGAAACCTCCCCCGAACCCTACTGTGGGTCTTGTTATTATCCCATTTTACAGATGAGGAAACTGAGGCACGGAGAGGTGAAGTCACTTACTCAATAACAAGTCCTAGAGCACGAATTTCCCGTGGGCAGCTGGCTCTGGAAGCCTAACCGCTGTACCACACTGCCTCTTGGAATATGATTCCCTCGCCTCCAACATCGCCTCCTCCAGGAAGCCTTCCCTCACCCCAGACTTTGTTTGTTCTGCTGAAGTATCATATAAACACATCATCTGATCTCAAAGACTGGAGTCCTCCAGAAGTCACCTTGTCCATGCCCCTGCCTCCAGGTAGACATGGTATTATAAGTCCCACTTTGAAGATGAGACGACCGAGGCCCCAAGGGGTTAAGAGACTTGTCCATGATCTAGAGTCAGTGAGGGAAACGTGGAAACTAGAGCCATGATCTGCTAAATTCCTCCACTCCAGCTCCAACCCTTCCACCCCACCCCCAACTTTAAAACAATTTTCAGGTCGTTTCTCGTCTGTTTTCCACTTACCATTAGTCTTCCAGCCAGACAGCAGCCTCCCTCGGGGCCCGTCAAAGGGTGGCGCACACAGCAGGTGCCTACTCAGTGTCCGTGCAGAAACGCACTAGGTGTGGTGCTGCTGTTCGAGACGCCTTGAGTAGGGATGTTTAGCAGGAAGGACGGATGTGAGCTGACACTTGAAGGATGCTTATGGATGTTTTAGTGAGCCGGGGAGCTGCACTGGGGAATTTCTGTCGGGAATGGAAAGGGCTTCGCAGCCAGAAGGAACAGCATGTACAAAAAGAGGCGGGAAGGGACAGTAATGGTTCAGTTGGACCCGAGCATGAAAAAGAGAGAGACAATGAAGCTGGAGAGGGGCTGCAGGGACGAGATGGGGCCTGTCCACCGGGCTAAGGAGGTGAGGCTCTGGCTTGGGGTGGATGCTGGGGAGGCAGGGAGGGAGGCAGTCACTGCTTGGCAAGCCCTGACTTTGCTGAGTAACTGTGCAAATCGCGTGCCCTCTCTGAGCCTGCTTCCCCGCTGCATGATTAGGGGCAACGCTTATGTTAAGGACCCTCCGGTCCTGCATGGGCTTCTTCTGTGGCTACTGCTCTTTTACCGTCCTAACAAAGAGGGTCCACTGGGTAGATCTGGAATATCTTTAATGCCCCGATTTCTTTTTGCCACCCGTGGATTTGCTCTGTGGTATTCTACCAGCTCTTCTGCAGGCACACGTCCCACAGCCCAGTTCACAAGGCAGCCTGGGTTGACATACTCTTTTTTACCTTCGAGCCCTTCCTTTTGTGCAGCCCCGTCCAGGACAGGCCTGTGTCATGGGCCTGGGCCTGGCCCCGCTCTGCGGGCCGTGGCATCAGTGGCATCAGCTCCTCCGAGGCCCTGGGGGAGGCACAGGGAAGCTCATCAGGGTCCAGGTTGGCATCACTCCAGCCCTCGGAGCTATCGCTGTAGCCGTCCAGACCGGTGGCTTCATCCTCAGATATCGTGACAATTCTGGCAGTATCCTCCCCCAAGGTGCTGTCTAAGTCCTTTGCCAAGGGGTTAGTGGCCGCCTCAGACTCGCTGGATCTGTAGACGTCTGCTGCATCCTCCTGCTTTTGCTTGGCGTCAACTGTAGGGGCGCCATGGAGCCCTGCCATGGGCCGGGCAGGTGTCTTGGCTCTGCCCTGGCCAGTCCAGAAGAGGGTGAGCTCTTGGCGGCAGGCGGCCACAGCCAGGCTGGTGAGCAGGGTGCTGGATACCAGGTAGAGCAGGGCGGGCTGGCCCATCTGCATAAGGACCATGGCGACAAAAGTGACCATCAGGCCCACGGCGTAGGCCATGGTACAGGCCATGAAGTAGACCTGGCGTGAGTGCATTTGCACATCAAAGCGATGACAATAGGCCACCAAGAAGCCCGGGACCACAATGTCACCAAAGCCGAGGATGGAGAAGGGCTGGTCACACAGGGTCAGGGCTGAGAAGCTCAGCCGGGGCACTTTCAGCACCATGGGCAGCCGCTCATGGCTCAGGGAACCTGCCGGGCCCGAGGCTACCTCCACCATGACGCTCTCGCCCGTCCTGGTGAGGAGCGGTGTGACGAAGACAAAGAAGACATCGAAGGCCAGCAAGGCCAGCAAGAAGGAGGTGCAGTTCTTGAGTGTGGGCAGCCGCACGCGCCGCAGGACGAAAAGGCAGTAGGCCACACCCAGGGTGTCCTGCAGGAGCCACGCCCAGCGGTCCTCGTTGCGGTAAGCAACCCAGAGGACGGTCACCAGCAGGCACAGGCCAGCCAGCAGCAGCAGGGCCAGCTGGCGACAGGCCCGGCGGCCAGGCAGGGGCCGCTGGCACGGCCGCGGGGGCAGGTGGCGCACCAGGGGGGCCAGGCAGCTGTAAAGGCCGGTGCCCGCACCCAGGCCGAAGATGACGATCATGACGTAGACGAAGTGGTCATAGAAGAAGTAGAGCAGCAGCATGATGGAGCAGGACATGGTGACGACCGCGCACGTCATGGCCGATGTGAAGTCCACAGGTTCGTCCTCGTCTTCCTCCTGCCCCCTCTGGGCTGTCATTGCTTCCTGTTGATTATGACCACCGGGCCCCCCTCCTCCTCGCGCCCGGCGCCGCTGCAGCCGGTCGGCCTCGGTCAGGCCAGCCCAGTAGCCGCCCGCGGCCACGGTGCCTACAGCCAGGATGAAGATGACCACCATGTTGTAGTCTAGGATGGGCTCTGGGGGCGCGTACAAGGCCACACGGACCATGGCGCCCCCGTGCGTGTGGCCAAGGATGTCGAGCATGTCGGTGTATCGGAGCACGGCCACAGGGATGGTGAGGTCTGGCAGGGGCTTGCGGGGGTCCTGGGACGCCAGGGTGGTGTCTGAGCACTGTTGGCCGCTGACCCGGCTCACGATGAGCAGCCCGTGGGCACCTTGGCCCTGAGCCAGCCAGCCCTTAGCATAGAAGCTACAGTTGCCCCTCATGACCATGGCAGTGGTCCGGTGGAGGGGCAGCTGGCTAGGGGGGCTGGGCTGGGCCTGGTGGGTGGGGTCCTTGTCTGGGCACCAGGGTGCCATGGTGCCATCATGCAGGGGCAGGAGTGGGGCGTGGCGCAGGTCCCGGGGCAGGGTGATGTAGTCGGAGCTGAACAGCATGCAGTAGTCCTTGCTCCAATTCTGTGACACCACGTGGACCACACCGTACTCCCCCCAGGCCATGGCACTGGTGAGGAGGAGGAGGAGGAAACCCAGGCACGCCATCCTCCTCAGCCACCTACCGCTGCGTCCCAACGTGGCTGCCGCTCCCAGCCAGTTCCCCCTCCTAGGGGGCGGGTGTGGCCCTCTGTCACAGAGCAGCATGGCCTCCTATCCCAGAAACCAGGGCCACACCTACCTAGTCATAAAGCTGTGCCATGAGGGCCCAGGGCATTGCTGCAGAGCACAGGGAACTTCTCAGGATCTTGTCCCTCAACCCTGGCTCCGAGAGAGAGGTCATCTGGGTCTCTGCTCTCCGCCCAGCCCCTCGTGGGGCTGGACCAGGTAATTTGAAATAAGAGGTGGGAGGATGGGGTTGAGGATCCCAGCCAGAATTTGGGACCAACTTTGCCCTTACTCACTGGGCAACCTGGGCAGATGCCTCTCCTCTCTGAGCCTGTTTCTTTAGCTTCAAAGAAATGAGGACATTGGACCAGAGAGTTTCTAAGACTCCTGGGAGCCTCGACCTCCATGATATCAAGCACTTTTGTTGTGCTCTTACTAAGTGCCAGGTAGTTGATCTGTCCTCATTGCACCCTGCACAGAGGTATTACTAGATCCACCCAGCCCAAGACTGAGCTGTCCTTCAAATCCATGACCCTTTCTATCGGTAAGTGACCGGAATTTCATTGCCAGCCTCCCTTGGAGTTAGAAATGGCCACATGGCCGTTTCTCGCCAATGGAATTGAGTAGAAATAATGTGAGCCTCTTGGGGGTCTGGACAGAGACTGCGGGCTCTTTGTTTATCTCTTTTCCTTGTTTCGCAAGAGGCCAGTGACAATGCAGAGGAGGAAGGAAGCGGAAAGACCCGGGTCTCTGGACATATGCATGTGGTATGGGATGCTCACCGCAGATGGCGATACGTTATCTTCCTTAAACCATTGGATTACGGTGGGTCTCTTTGTTACAGCAGCTTAACCTCATCAGAATACCCCCACGTCATGGGTGAGTGAACCGGAAGCTCAGAGAAACCCACCCCACGCGCCCCAACCCAAGTCCCCCAATCCAGCTCTCACACCGGACATGTCCCTTAGGCCTTGGTCTGTCTGGGGAACTTAGCATGTCATGATCGCCACTCAGGTTTTACTTTCTTCAAAGCACTTATCGCAGTCCTAGGTTTTTGCTTATTTACGTGTTTCCTTATCGATGTTCTGTCTCCCACCGGCTGAATTCCATGAGCACAGGGAGCTTATCTATTCTATCTGCTCCTGGATTCTGGAATAGACAGTGATGCGCAGGAAAATACGTGTGAGATGTAGGAACGAGCGACCCTATTTTACAGTAGCAGGGACCAAGGCACAGGGCAGTGAAGAGGCTTTTCCAAGGTGACACGTGAGTGCTAGAGATGAGATCGAAAGCCAGGCTGTTAGGCAGTGGAGCTTCTGGCTAACCCAACTCCGCTCTGTGCCATGTGGTCAGGGGACTGTGCAGTCAGCCCGCTTATCTCAGGTGAGTGGGCCTGGGTGGGAGATAGGACTATTGGAAAAGTCGATTCAAGGAGGGGAATCCTTAAAAAGTCATCTGCATACTTTACACGTTGTGTTGGTTCCTTGGGCTGCTTTAGCTAATGACCACAAACCGGTAGCTAGAAACAAGTTTATTCTCTCAGCCTGGAGGCTAGAAGTCTGCTATGAAGTGCATGTTTGTGTGTCCCCCCAAATTCTTACCTTTAATCTCGAATCCCTATTATGTCATGAGAGTGGAGCCCTCATGAATGGGATTGGTGCCCTTATAAGAAGAGACGCAAGAGAGACGAGCTCACTCTCCATCATGTGAGGACACAGCCAGAAGGCAGCCAGGAAGAGAGCGCTCGGCAGGAACTGAATCAGCCCCTTGATCTCGGACTTGCAGCCTGCAGAACTGTGAGAAGTAAATGCTTGCTGTGTAAGCCACTCTGTCTATGGTATTTGTTATAGCAGCCCGAGCACACTAAGAAAAATCCAAAATCAAGGTGTCAGGAGGGCCGAGCTCCCTCTGAGACTCTGGGTAGAATCTTTCCGCATCTCTTCCTGATTTTGGGGGTGGCTTGCAGTCCTTGGCATTCCTTTGCTTGTGGCAATATCACTCCAATCTCTGCCTCTGCTGCAAATGGCATTCGTCCATCTGTGTCTCTGTGTCAGTCATATTGGCTGAGGGCCCATCCAATGACCTTATCTTAACTTGATTACATCTACAAAGACCCTATTTTCAAATAAGATCACATTTACAGGTACCAGGGGTTAGGAGTCCAATGTGTCATTTTTGGGAACACAATTCAATCCATAAAACACATTTTATTTTAATTTCCAAGGAGGGAGCATACAGTCACTGACCTTTCTTAAGTCCTCTTCTTCGACTATGGGACCATCCCTTGCAGTGTCAAGTTGCCTGCTTTGTGAAATCCATACCAATGGGTGACCATCTCCGAAGTCCAGCCTTGGACCCTTCGAGGGGGAGGGCGAGCTGAAAGAATCTTGCAAAGTGGTTGGCAGGTGGAGCCATGTCGTCTTTGACGATCTCCTCCCACCCAATTACTTACATCTGCCTCACCCACACCTAATTTGACAGCTAATATTTTGTATGACTCAGACTGCATCTTTCGAAACATTCAACTGAATTTTCATAAGGAAGAACATCTCTCCTTGTTTGTGTACTTCTGTTTCACCTGTTACTATAACATTTAATTAGATTACAAAACAGTAATTACAATGACAAGCGAGCTGTCAGAAACGCGTTAGGGAACACAAACCAACAATGGTGAGCGCACCCCACAGCTGGCGCGGGGAGAAGGGGCAGGGCCCAGGGTGGGGGCTGCCAGCGGCCCCGTCAGTGTGCTCTCATTGCAGAGGGGCGACAGGTGCATCGGTTGGGACAGTTAAGGGAGATGAGGCTTACACAGTTCTTATTTGTGGGTAATGGTGTCTAGACTGGGTGCCTCTCTGCATCCAAGAACCCAGATGTTGGAGCACAGTAGGGCAAACCAGCCCCTTACTGAGTTCTGTGATAATAAAACTCTTTCTGGCCCCCCAGCCACTGAGGTTCAGTCTATTCCCTCACTGGGAGCCCTGCTATCCACTCACGGGGTCTCCAAAGACCAACACACCTACTGGGATGGCTATTATCAGTAACATGGATTATAACAAGTTTCGAAAAAGATGTGGAGAAATTAGAATCCTCATACATTGCTGTAAATGTAGTTTGATGCAGCCACTGGAAAACAGTTTGATGGTCCCTTGATAAATTAAACGGAATTACCATATGGCCCAGCAATTGCACTCTTGGCCATATACTCAAAAGAATTGGAAAAAGGTGTTCAAACAAAAACTTGTATGTAAATGTTCATAGCAGCACTATTTACAATAACTTGGAATTGTCCTTCAACTGATGAATGGATAAATAAAGTGTAGTTTATCCATACAATGGAATATCATCTGGCCATAAAAAGAAAGGAAGTTCATATATGGGCTACAGTGTGGATGAATCTTGAAAACATTACGCTAAGTGAAAGAAGCCAGTCACAAAAGGACCGATGTTGTATGATTCTACTTTTATGAACTCTCCCGAATAGGCAAATCTATGGAGACAGAAAGCAGGTTTGTGGTGGCCAGCGGCTGGGGGAAGGAGGAATGGGGAGTGATTGCTTAGTGGGTTTCCACTAGGGTGATGGAAAAGTTCTGGGCTACATAGTTGTGACGGTTACACACCATCGTGAGTGTATTTAATGACACCGAACTGTACACCTGAACGTGGTTGAAAGGGTAAGTTCTATGTTATGTGAATTTTACCACAACTTAAAAAAAAAAAAAAAATACCCAAACCAACTCCAGCCCCTGCCAGGGGCACTGTGCTCAGGGCTCATCTTCGTTCTTCTACTGGCCGCTGCAGTTATTTCTAAATAATGATCTCATTGGTGTTTCCATCATACTGGGAGCTTTGAAAACTATGCATGGCCCAGGCCTCTCTTGGCCCAAGGCTGCCCAGTAGGATCCGCAGGGGTTGGTGGGCTGTAGAGGGTAGGGAATAGGAGCCGATGCTCTGAGATGAAGCACGGTCAGGGCTGGGGACGCTGGGAGGCTGGCGGCCTATGGCCACCCTGGAGGCCGGGCAGGGTTCATTCGGGGAGTGCGCTACGTGAGGCCCAGGCTTTGCAGGTGTCAACTGCTACATCTAGCTTTGTCTCTGAATGCTGTTTGTCCACAAACTAGGGAAACTAAAGAATTTCCCCAGGGAGGGTGTTGGAGGGGGCAGGGGGACAGGGAGAGACATCCTACAAAGAAATCCTGCTGCACCGGGGTTAAACGCGGTGGGGAATAAGCGAGGCCAGCCTAGGTTTGCATCCAGCCGCTGCTGGGTGCCCTTGGGCAGCTCTCTCAGCCTCTCTGGGCCTCACGTTCTTCATCTGATAGAGGAGGATAAAAGCCCCTGCCCCAGAGAATGGTATGAAGAGCTGAAGACATCGACATGTGAGGGGCTCAGCAGCGCCTTGTGCCCAGTAAGTACTCAATCAATGACAGTATTGCAGTTGGTGCAATGCAGAAAGCACCTGCCCCCACTTCGTTTGGACCAAGGGTGGCGGTTGAGTTTGAAGTCAGGGGACTGGATGAGGAAACCCTCACACAGGCTGGGCAGAGCCTGGGTGGGTGCAGAGAGACCCTCGCAGGCTTCTGGTGACCTGGGCTAAACCGTTTGAAGTTAAGCGTTGTTTTGAGGAGTGGCGGGGTAGAGGCTGTTGGGAAGGCAGAGAATGGGGTGTTGGGAGCCAGGATGGACATTCAGAACCCTCGTTGCTCTCACCCGGCTGGACTCAGCAGCTGGACACTGGCTAGGTCATCTTTAGACAGGTCCCATGTTCTCCTGGACACATTCTCAATCAGACGATCTGAAACCCTGAGGCGTCTTCATGGCCCCATCCCCCAAAGCTGCTTTATCAGTCCTGGTCCCCCAAACCGAGACCTAGTGACTTTAGTCAACTCAAAGCCCTGGACTTTGAGCCAGAAGACTGTTGATCTCAGGGGAGTCACCAGGCCTGTTTCCTTGGCTATAATATGGGCTGGTTCCTGTCTCCATGAGCTGGTTGAGGATTAGATAATAAATGTTCTAAAGGATTTAGTGGATTGCAAAGTGATCTACAAATGCCCATAATGAAGGTACTATTATCTGGGTTCCAAAATCTCTCTCCCTTCCTTTTTCCCAGATCTGACTCCCTCCTCAGTCCAGGTCCCAGGGGTCTGACCCAGTAGCAGCTGAAGAGGTCAGAGGGGAAGCCGAGGACCCCAGGGCAGGGATCTGCTGTCACACTTATGAAGGTGGGAGGAGCCCAGACTGCAAAATCAAAACCCTGCACTGTGGTTTTTCCTTCACTGCTGATCTGTGCCCATGAGGGAGAGTCCCCAGGGAAAATCTGCTCAGCTGGGGTAGTTTTAGAGGACTGCAGCCTCTGGGTGTGATGTGCAGAAAAATTCTTCTGGGCTTTAGAGAGAGGCCCATGCTGCCGTGACCCCCACTCTGCAGCTGCCGGACCCTCCCCACAGCATAGTGACGTGAATGTCTGTTGGCCCATTGCACCCCCACTCAGTCCCAGAGACCTCTTCTCCTGCCCCACCTAGAAGCTAAACCTCAGGGCAGATGACCCTCAGAAACCATCTGGGGACCTGCCTTCACCCTGGCCCTGGAGCCCAGAACACACACTAGCCACGGAAGGGTTAAACTCTGGGCGCCTACCCAGCACAGGAGCTGAAATTCTTTGGGACCCAGATGTTGCCAGATGTGCCTGAAGCCGCTGTTCCACCCTTAAGTCTCTAGATGGGAGGGGTCCCAAGGCTTGTCTGGACCAGCCCCCACCTGCATAGGGACCACCCCCCAGTCCTCTACCAGCCCTCGGGCTCACCTAGCACCCCATCCTCGATGGGTGTGTGAGTGCTATCCGGTTTCCCAGCCACAGAGCAGCCCTAGCACTGAAAGTGGCCTTCGTTTCTCTGTGGGACCCTCTCCACCCAGCCCCGGCATGGTATAGAACTTCACAAATGCTGGTTGAAAAGATAAATATCGTTGTTTACATTAGCCACCCCCATCTCCCAGCCCTGCACCCCAAAGCTCTGCTCTGGCTGTCCAGTACCTCTGGACGTGGCTGGGTCCAGTGAGAGCTGAGTCAGTCTGTACCTAAGGTGTAAGCGATCATCTGGCTGGTTGCCCCAAGGGCCACTTGTTCTGCTCCAGGGGGCAGAGAGGGGCTGAGGGGTCCACCCCTTCTCTTCTTTTGGCTTAGCTAACAGTGCAACCCCAGGGGCCACTGAGGGGTCGCGAGCTCCCTGTGACCAACAGAGGGGTTGCCCAGAGGCCAGGTCTCTGAAGCCAGAAGGCTGGATGGCTTCAAGTATTCTCTGCCCTCTCAAAGGGAGGCTGGCTTTGGCGGGGGCACACCTTGGCTCTTGTTCACCCTCCCACCCTCCATCTCCGGGGACAGGAGGTCAGGGAGAGGGAGCCCATGTAGCCAGCTGGGTTGTAAAGGTCCAAGGGTACAAAGCAGCAAGGCAGGGCATTTCTGGAGGCAGTGCCACGGGGCCACGTGAAGTTCTGGTGGCTTGGGAGGATTTCTAGTGATGTGGCCTGATGCTTGATGGTGCCACGGATTTCTACTGTCTCTAGGGCTCTGACAACGTGGCCTTGGTTCTCAGCAGTGTTGGAAGGCATTGCTAAGGCCTTGGAGGCATCATCATGGTGGTTAGGATGCTGCTGCGAGAGTTTCCCATGATGCCCATGGGGCAGCGAATGGCCACCACAGTCGCCAAGAAAGAAGCCCCAGGTCTCCACTGTGCTAGTCACCTTGTGCTCTGGGAGAAGACATTTCTTGCAGGAACTGCTGTGCTGCTTTGGATTTCCCGGCTCCCCATTCCCACTCCATTCCCAGCCCATTCTCCAGGGAGGACTGGGGCAAAGGGGAGCCACAGGCCCTGGGCCCAGCCCAGTCAGTCCTACAGGGAATTTTCCATTCGTCCCGTGGCCCAGACTGCAGCTTTTCTCATCAGCCTAGAACTTCTGCTCAGCCGGGGACCAAGGAGGGGCCTCCCGGGCCCTGGTGCCAGCACTCCTGGGGGTACAGGGTGTGGGAAAGAGCTGGTCCCTCCACAGACAGGGCAGTTGGCTGAGCCTGACGACCATCTTCTCCAACATAGATCTCGGGGAGCTGCTCCATGGCCCCCAATTCAGACAGCTGTGGACTGCTTGATACTATGAAAGCTGACACGGGTGGGGGAGGTGGGGATGGACATGGCGCGGGCTACTCGGGCACGAATCGAGTGCTTGTCCTGCCATCGGTGCCATCTCTTCCGGATGGCCGAGCGGACCTGTGGGCACAGAGCAGAGCATAACATCTGAGCTTGGATCTTGGGACCTCCGCACTCCCCCAGGGCTGCCATAAGCAGCTGCACAGGTGAGATGCACAGGGGGCCACACAGGAGGTGGTGACATTCACGTCTTCGACACTGCATATTTGTTGGGACAGTTTCCTCAAGTGTTCTGAGGAAGGGGTGCCTTTTTCTGATCCACACGAAGGTGCCAAATGGCCTTTGGCAGGAAGAACTCCTACCCTCAACCCACATGCAACCCCTGCCCCGGGGCTCAGCCCCTCCTGGTTTCCGATACCCCACTTCACAGACTCATTGATGAGACTGAAGTCCCAGCTCTTCCATGCCGACTGCTTATGAGAACAAAGGAGAGGGCTCGCCACCGTGGGAGCAGCATGGACAGGTGGCAAGGACCCTCCTGGGGCTCCCAGCAGCGTCCCCATAGGGACCTGGGGGCAGGGAGGAGAGGGCCGGCATGCGGAGAGCAGGAGGAGGCTACAGACCTCCTCTGGTCCCAGCAGGCCTCCCGCCATCCTGAGCCCCAGCCCGGGGCCCTTACCTCGCTGTTGAGGAAACAGTAGAACACAGACACGAAGAAACCCTAGGGTGGAGGGGGAGGCGGATCAAAGGACTGGGGGTGTGTGGCCCCACCGCGCCTTCAGGCCGCCCCCTTTCTGCCCCAGCCTCCTGCCCCACCAGGCCTCTGCCTGGGAGACGCCCACCCGAGGGGGTGTGGGGGTGGCCAGGCCGAGTGAGGGGCGGGTGCTGTACCTGGAAGGACTCCAGGAAGGAGTTGAAGTAGATGAAGACGACCCGGGAGACCTCGTCCTCCCCGGGGTTCACGAAGAACAGCATGTACGTGATGCCCAGGAGCGGGAGCAGCACCAGTGTGGCCTTCACAGCCTTCCTGGGGTGGGGGGGGCAGGTGGGGATACCCAGAGTCACAGCCCACCCCAGAGGGTACCGGAGTGTGGGGGGGTGGCAGCTCCCAGAAATGTCTGAGACTGGGAGGTGGAGCTGGGGCTTTGGGAGGGACTGCCAGGCCTGGAGGGGGACCCAAGGGTGGGGGAGGCAGGACCGGCTACCTGTATTGAATGGTCTCAGATGTAGTGGACGCCCGAAGTTTGGTCATGAGGATGCGAACGATGTTGAAGAGGAAGATGAAATTGATCTGCAATGTGAGCACACAGTGGGACGGTGTGGGCGGACAGGTTGGGGACTCAGCCATCTCAGGTCTGGTCTTGGTCCTCCCTGCTGCTCTCCCTCTGGCTTCATTGACACGTTCCTGGCCCTGCACCCCCACCTCTAGGCAGAGGGATTCTCCGGGGCCACAGTAAGCACTGATTGTCCCTCCCCACTGTGCCCCTCTCTCCTTTCCCCCTGCCCAGGTTCTTACCAGCAGGACCAAGATCATGGGGCCCTGGTAGATGTAGTCGGTGTATACCCCAGGCCTTTTGCCAAACCAGCACCTAGAAGGCCACAGAGGGGAGGAAGAGGCGGGGTCATCTTCGCCTACTCTGGTGGCATGGGGGAGGGGCAGTGCTTGGCCGGAAGCCAGTCTCTAGGTGCCTCAATTCCAACCCTGGCAGAAGGCCAAGCCCCTTGATCCCACCACAGTGCCTCGGGTGCCCCATCTGCAGAAAGGACAGCGTCCTCTATTATGAGATGTAAAGCTGAAAGCCGGCGGGGTGGCGGGGAGGACATCGTGAAAAAGACCACTGAGTGGAACAGGCATGAGCTCACCACACCACTGCTTCCCTCGGTTCCCACGGTGGCTCTGGCACATGCCCACTGGTGGTACCTTGCCCTGTCTCTGTCATGAAGTGAGCACCCAATGGCTAGCAATCTCCGAATCTGTTCAGTTGTAGCCTGAACAACCTCGAGGCAGAGATTTCATAGGTTCCACCTGTCGCAGGAGGCAGACTTGCATTGCATTTTCCTGAGTTCCCTCCAGCAAGCTCTAGGGAGGCCTGAGGAGTGGGCAGGGACGGGCACACAGGAAGTCCTACGTCCTTGTGCAGAGAGGATGTGTGGGCATGCATACCCGCAGTGTCTAGGTCTCGTGATGCTTCCATAAACCAGAACTGAGATTTTTATGTGAAACTTCTTGACTTTTTAAAGACTGGCAACAAATTTAAGTTTTTAAAAAACACTGTGCAGACCAAATGTGAGCTGTCTGAGGCCCACTCCAGTCCTTGGTCTTGGGTCTCAAGTTCGATTCCATGTCTCACACCTGGCTCCCTTCTGCTGCAGTGTCAGCATCTTGCCACAAGGTGGGGCTCCAGAGTCATACAGAGGGACTTCTCCCGCTCAGGCACCCGTTTCCCTCCGGGATGTATACAGACACATACACACTGGGCAGCTTTGGGAAACCTGTTCTTTCTCTCCTCCCCGGTACTCACACCCACGCCTGCATACCTGGAGGCCCAGGCACCATCGCCCAGGGTTTATGATGCTCCTGCTCTGGGACCCAGGCCCCCAGTTGTGTCTGTCAGCTGGCACCCCCTCCTAGCCCAGGTCCCCACCTCACCAGCTGTGCAAATGTAGAGAGAGCCAGCTAGCCAGAGTCAGAAAGGATCTTGCCCTCATAATATGAACATAATTTTTCAGGCTCTTTGCCCAGCCCCGTGAGGTGGTAGTGGCCACCTTCCTCTCTATGATAGTGGGGAGGAATCGTCACTGCGATGGAGGCCGCCTGGAACCCTGGTCAGACCGGCGTTCCTGAGAACGCTTTGGCAGAGAAGACCCTGGCAGTCCCCTGCGTGTGTCCTCTTTTCTGCCCCTTTCTCTCAGTGGTTCTCAATCTTAGGCGCATGGTAAAATCACTTGGGCGGTTAAAAAAAATATCCCGGTGCCCAGGTCACACACTCCAGACCAACGACATCGAAACCATCAAACATTACATGGCTTATGGAGGTCAAGCCTGAGCATCAGTCCCCGTCCCTGCCCACTCTCCAGACCTCCCTAGAGCTTGCTGGGGGACTCCGATGTTCTCCAAGGCTAAGAACCACTGCGGCAGACGTCTAGGTTTCAAAGGCAGCTGGGAACACCTGAGTCTATTGAATAAGGCACCTCAGGACTTCAGAGCTGGAAGGAGTCTCTGAGATTGTCTGGAACAATTTCTATTAAGTCCATGGAATCTTTTGAATCTTAAAAGTAATAGAAAACATTTATATAGCATTTACTATGTGCCAGACACTATCCTAAATGCTTACTATGTATTCACTCATGTCATCCCCACAACCACTCTCTGATAGAGAGACTATTATTAGGATGCCCGTTCGTAGATGAGTAAACCGAGGCACACTGCAGTAATGGGCCCAAGGTTGTATAGCTATTCAATGACAGAGCCATGATTCAGAACCTGGGCAGCCTGGTAACCCTCACGGGGCTCTGCCTGTTGTGAGAGCCGCCTGTCCAGCCCCTCCTCAGGCAGAGGGCTGCGAGAGAGCCTTGGATTACTCGAGCCGCCCGCACCCTCCCTTTGTAGATGAAGAAACTGTGCCCCTAACAGCGAAGGTGATGTGGCAGAAGGTGCTTAGGGAGTGTCAGGCACAGCTGGGCTTGAAAGCCTGGACCTCGGGGTTCAGGGGCCCTGAGGGCAGTGAGGGGAAGGAGGTGACTTACTTCTCGTTGTCGTAGTACAGTTTCCCAATGGCCCAGGCCACGATGATGGGGAAAGGCACACCTGGGGGAGAGACTGGCTATCACAGAGCCCATCAACGGAATCTGGGGGTGCAGGGCCTGGGGGACCCCAGTGCAGCCCAGAACCTAGAGGCAGACAGGGGTTCCCAGGGGAGAGCTCGGACCCACTCGTCCAATGTGCTTCCTTCAAGATACTCCCACCACCTCCTGTAGGCACAGAGAGCTGTGGTGTGCACCCCACCACCCCAACCCGGCCCTGCAGCCAGCTGGCCTGAGTCGGGGTGAGGAGGGGGCAGCCAGGCTGGCAGGGGGACTGGCCCACTCACCCCAGCCAATGCAGATGAACATCCACTTGCGCAGCCGGTCGGTGGAGTAGGTGAGCACGATGGCCGTGTGCAGGTAGCACCCCTCCCCGAACATCCAGAAGAAGTTGGTCACGTGGAAGTAGTTGTAGGCAGCTGTCACCAACCTGCACCAGCCCTGCCGCCCCACCCCCACCAGAGATGACGGTGAGGCAGGGGACAGGGTTAGGGTGGCAGCAGCATCCTACCTTGGGCCAGGGGCCTCCTCTCGGCAGAACAGGGCACACCCCTCCCCCCGCCCCCCGCTCCAAGATGTGTTCCTGTTCTATGCGCCCTGAGGCCTGGCCCCGGCCCCTTCTCCACCAGGGCAGTCCCACCTGGACCCCTTTGACCCCAGGCCTGCCCCTCCAGGACACACCACGTTGCTCTGGTGGACTTCAGGGCTCATAGTGAACTGGACCACGAACCACGTGGCATTGCGCAGGATGAAGGCTGAGATGAGGTTCCAGTGGATGATGTTTCTCAGGCACCGGATGCTTCTGGGAGCAGCAAGGGAGGGTGGATGAGGGAGCAAGGAGAGTGAGGATGACAGACAGGTCACCAGCATCACTCCAGCCCAGGTGTATGGTGGGGAAACTGAGGCTCAGCATGGGGCTGACTGGCTAAGTCACTCTGAGAAGGTGGCAGCAGAGGCCCTCCTGATGCCCCGAGGGTTCTATCCTACCTATGGCCCATCCAGACCTAAGTCCCAGGCAGAGCCTGCCACAGCCAGTGCTTCAGGACCAGAGGCTGCCTGCTTACTGGGACCAGGGGCTGCCTCTTCTCCCGTGGGCACCCTTCCCCTCCCCGTAGATCCGGGTTGAGGGTCAGAAA